TTTGGGGCATCTATCTGATGATTTTAGTGAGAGGTAAGAGCATTTTAGAGAGAGAAAGAGGAAACCTGACATCCCAATTACCATTCTTGCCCCAATCTTCAAAAATCAAGGAAGCCAACCACAAGATCTTCATTTAAGAGGTAAGATTCAAACCCTAGTCATCAATTTCGAGTTTGGGTATGAGATAGGTAATTTGGGAGTATGATTTTTGGGTATGGGAATTGTTATTTATCACATGCATGAGCTAGTGGGGATTGTGGGGAAGTTGTTGAACAATCTTGGGTGGTTTTGGTGTTTAATTAGTTGTGGAGTGAAGGAAATCTTGTGGATGAACCTTGTAGTGTAATTTTCACGCCTAGTGTTTGATAAAATACACAAATAAGCTGGAACTATGAACTCCTTCCTAATTTGTGTTCAATTTTTCTATATCTCTAAATAGATCGAAGTGGCTAAAATTTTCGGAACGTTGTAGTAAATTAAAAGGCTCGAAGCAAGGTATGTTCGCTAAACTCCTCTCTTAGAATTGAACCCCACATTATTCTTGTAAGTTTCAAGTTGTTCACCACAAATCAACTATTACGAATAAGCTTTGTGACAAGAGATATATGTTCCGTACGTGTTCCAAATGTTATTGTTATGTTGTTTTGCTATTGTGAGAATGTGTTCAAAGTATGGATTGCATATCTAAATGTTATAACTTCAAGTCGTGTTTCAAATGAAAACTATGTTGCTAAATTGTGTAAGATTGTGATTGGGATTACACCTCCACCCGCATACATTGGGGTGAGGCGGCAAGGTCGCTTTGTGTAGAGTTTTGGTATTGTGTAATACACCTCCACCCGCATATATTGGGGTGAGGCGGCAAGACCACTTTGTGTAGAGTCTTGGTATTGTGGAATACACCTCCACCCGTGTACATTGGGGTGAGGCGGCGGGGCCGCTTTGTGTAGAGTTCTGGTATTATGATTTCACCTCTACCCGCATATATTGGGGTGAGTCTGCAAAGCTGCTGTGTGTAAAGGTAGTTGTAGAGGATACTCGACTGGAAATTTATAAATGTTATTGGAAGTTCTTAACAAATCTGTTTGACTTTTATGGTTATCTAAGCCCTTGATTGTTACCATGATTCATCATATTCGTGTTGTATTTCCAAGTTCTTGAATAGATGTTTTGGTTTTCATACTAGTACTATTCGACATGTACTAACGTCTCTTTTGCCGGGGGCGCTGCATCTTTAATGGATGCAGGTAGTTCTACAGCAGGAGGCATTGACCAGTGACAGCGGTACACTCTTTTCCCAACTGACTTGGTGAGCCCCACGTCATTCCGGGGTTGTGCATCCTTTGTTCCATATGTACTATATTTTAAGGTATAGCCGGAGCCTTGTTGCCATCACTACATTGTACTCTTTTATATCTATTAGATGCTCCGTAGGCATGGAGTGGGTTATGTATTGGTATTGGCAAATTCAAGATAGTAATGTTGTATGTATGTTACATCTTCCAATTTAAATTATGAAAGTGTGTGTATTTTGAGACGTTACAAATAAAGTTTATATTCTCTTTATGTTATGGGTGTGTTGGGTAGAAGGAAATATGATAGGCTTGCACGGCCGGGTTATCTCGGTTAAGCGCCGGTAGCGCTCCCCGAGGTCGGGGCTTGACACTTCAACCCTTGGTGGAACTCACCGAGTTGCTAAAAGAAGTGAAAGAAGAGGAATCACTAACAGCATGGGGTGGCCTTTAACTAGAAGAAGAGACAAACGATGAACTTACGACTAGGGTTTCAATATTTCGAAAAGGATGAAGCTGTGGCCGGAATGATGTCCCTGGTGGCAGCTGCAACGAACCGTTCCATCTACCCACGGTCATTGTCATCATCCATGCTGGCTAAGAGAGCATGGTTGCCACGTTTGCTGAAATTTATCATTCCCCCGCGAAAAATCTTGGAGGAATAAAGGCTCATTAATCGAGCTAGGGTTAGCTCCTCCCCCGTCTCCTGGCACAGATGCCGAAGACAAGTGACTTTCCTCCACACAGAAGGACTTACTTGTGCCAGGCATACCCGGTAACGGATGCAGAACTCCACAATAACGGAGTCAAGCTCTCCACTCAAAGAGAACGGCCCTAAAGTGAAGGGATACGTATAAAAATATGTGAAACCCTTCTTGGGTAAGGTTATTCGCTCCGCCGGATCAGGAGCGATAATGTCTATATCATGGCAATAGTAGTCTTCCTTCTCAATATGAATACTGGAAGGATGAATGGAAAAAGGGTACACGCCAACGGCCTACGTACGAGGGTTAGTGGAATGATACTTCTCTTTGATGTCTTTAGTTGTGACAATACTTCTTGGGATGATGGTGCTTACCGTAGGAGGAGGAGCATCATCAGCTTTATCTTTGTTTAGTGAGGAACTAGGGTTTCTGGAAGAAGAAGCCATTTTTATCAGAAAGGAAGAAATGATTTCTCTGAAGAAGAAGGTTAAAGAAAAGTTGAAGACGAAATACGAGTTGAGTAAAGAGAGTTTGAGAAAGTTTGGAAAACTATGAAGTGTAAATGAAGAAGTTTCGTGCATATAAGTAAAGAAATGGGCGGCTAAAATCGTGGCCATAATTACCTTGATAACCGGCAAAAGTGATGCTAAATCATGGAATGACGCGTGTTCGGGGCATTAAATGCGGAGAGACGCGCATCTAATCAACCGTCAGAAACTTTTCAGAGAGTCAGAGAATTTTCCGCCAAAAAAGGTATCTCTACCAACTTCCTGGTGACACAAAGTTATGCCACCGAAAAGTGGGGAACTATCTGTATAGGATAAAATATGTTCATATTTAATGTTCGCATGAGAAAGTGACCCGTGGAGCCGAAGATAGAAGACAGTCGGGCACGAGAGCAATAATCTCGCTTGTTATCGGAGAGAATGATATTCATAAAGGCGAAATAAATGCCTACCACCTTGTAGCATTTAATGAAGAATATTTTATAGTAGTAAGTGCATGGTCCGTTACAGAGAATAAGACATTTACTGCCTACCGTTACACATTCTTCAATGACCCTCATAATTGTCATTTAAGGGGGACTTGATCCTAGGACTTCGTTCCCTAGATACAATTATAAATAGTGAGTTCTACCAGCATTATAAGGGACACGAATTTTCTGACAAGCATACACCATATTCTATCAAAAGCTCAATAACATTTTACTTTCTTGTTTATTTATATTGTTCTCATTGCCTCCAGAAGCTCTGCGCCCGGGACTAAGATATCTGCTATTTTATCTCAACTTCAAGGCTAAGTCTTATATTATCGTCTAATTCATTTATCATTCTAGGATCAAATCGATTCACCTGTCTATAAACCACGTATAAATTCAATTGTATCATTTTACGGGTAAACAGACCCACTAGGAAAAGGAATTACCATGTGGCTTTAGAGAAATATGTCTACTCAAAAAAATGGGTAGACTTTTGTTTTAAATGGTGCGTTGCATTTTTTAATTCAAAAATAAGATAAATGATTTTTTTTTAAATTCTGTCAGCAAAAAGGGTATATTTGCACCATTTTGTAACTGACAGGCATGGGTATATATGGGTCAATTGGTTTTGTAACCCATTACAAATTTGTATTTAGTTTTATGACCTCGTCTCTTTTTTTATATATGGGAGATTTAATTTTACACATAAAAGATCTACTTTTTACACGTAAGAGATCTAAAAAGGACATTTTATAAAGTGGGTACATGCTCTGAATCACAAAGTTGAGGGGTATGCCCAAGCTCCTTTTGCAACAATACTTGATTTCACCTAACGTTTTGACAAATTTGTTAAATCTGACACGTTTTATGTGTTTCTCTTTAGAAAATTAAATAAGAGGTACCATTTGGGAATATTATTGGGTACAACAGAAAATTCTTGTATTGGCACAAATAATATGAACAGTATAAAATTTAGCTATCGTCTGGTTAAGTTGACCTTCATTGTATAATATGTAACTTTTCATTACAAACCCGATATGATAATTAACCTAAAAAATAAGACGTATAATACAAACCAGCTAGTCAGCTACATTCATTGATGATGTCATTTTTTTTCTTTCACAATTAGAGTTAATAATTTAATCCTAATAAAATATACTCATTTTGTGAACAAAATAATAAATAAAATCATACCATGTGATCCATGTTGGAAGAAGATTATATTACAAATGAAACGATAAGCTGCTGGGTGCTGGCCGCCTATATATTTTATGCTAAATGGATCAGTCATTAGCACAATAATCTCAGATTATGGACTTCCTTTCATATTTATAAATGATAAAAAAAATGACAGCTTTGATCTCATAATTAGAGAAAGTAAAATCAAGATGAGAAACTTTCAATTCTATCCATAATGAGAAACTTTTATAACGATACAAATACTCTGGCATGTTTAACACCACAAGTTTCAAAAGAATTATGGTCATACAAATATTTTGACTTGTTTAGGACCACAAATTCTAAAAGTCTACATTTTTTCTTAAATTTCGTGCCTAATTAAAATCAAACAGGTTTACATAAATTGAAACGGATGAGTATATCATTAGGTTTAATTGTATAATAGTAGTATCACATGTTTACATGAGTAATTCTTCTTTGGATCATAATCATTTTTGGATCAGACATTAATGCAATAATTACAGGAAGTGGGCCTCTTTTAATTTACAGACAAAAAATGAATATCTTAAAAAAAAAAAAAAAAAAAAAAAAAAAATGGAAAAATTAAGGTAACCTACTAAAATTACTTTTTTTTTTTTTTTATTTACGGTAAG